AAAGGCCTCAGAAAGTACAATTCTAGTTATAGTCTTTCCGTGTACTATTACATGGAGAGGTGCACTTAATTTTTGTTGTCAAAAAGGAGTTTTCATGCTCAAAGACACTGCGAGACATGGAACAGTCAAAAGCACTCTTTTGGCTACCATGTAAAGACCTCGGGGTTAGCTGAGATTCCAGCCTCACTTCTTTTGCCCCAACTGTCTCCGGCTCATACCACAAGGCCTTCTAACCCAGGCACCGATCTACTGGACACCGACAGTCTAACACCACTTCTTTGTGAAGGAGAAGAGCCCAGACTAATCTCTGGACTTGTCCCAGGAACTTTCTACCCTCCCTGAGTTCTTCTTTGCTTTTCCTTCTCTCCCATCTAGAACTCTCCAGCTCAGCTCAGTGCTTTGAGGATTAGCTGCAAACTCAACCCCTTGCATACCCTGATGATCTGAAAGTGCCCCTTTGCACACAGTCTATGGCATGGACATACAGTCACCAATATACTAAAATAAGACATATATGGCATATGTATAAAATGTGCATATGCGTATTTTACAGCGAAAATGCCAGTGCTCCTCTGGTGGATCAACTAGTAGTCAGTTTAAGTGGGACCATCCATCTGAACTGAGCCTGCATGGCACTGGGTGTGGAAGGCCCCCCTGAGGAGTCCTGCCACTGGCAGAGAAGACGACTAAGAGGGGAAGACTGAGTGCCGGTGATTCTCCTGGAGCAGCTTGCTGGGCCGTGTTTCCAGATGTGAACTGGGCTCTTCTCAGAGAAGCTTGAGGCCTTGCTGTCACCAGGGGTGGCTGCTTCTCTCTGTGGGAGCTCAGGTCTTCACCTTGAGTGTCATTTCCCGGCTCCAGTGCCTCTGGCACAGATCTGCCACCCAGCCAGCACAGATGATCCAGCTTCCACCACTGGCCCTTGGGTCTTACAGGCAGACCACTGATACAGACTTGCATGACACTGCTGTGGGCTCTAGGCCTCCAGCTGGACTCCTGTACGACACTTCCACAGAACCCAGGGTGTTATGTTTGTGTCTGGATTTCCCCCAAAAGCCTCATGCAGTCAAATGGGGACAGGGTTTTCAGAGGTATCTAAATTTAGAGTTTGTGACTGGTCCATAGTGCAATCAATGCTGGGATTAAGGATTCTGGGATTGAGGGTGTGAGACTGTTAGATAAATCCACTGATTACATGGCCACCACCCTAGCCCCAGCAGTCTGAGTAAAAGGGACAAAAAGAAGCTTGCTTGCCTCTTTTGTTCTTGTCTTTGCTGTCTTCTGCTGCCAGGAACTATTTTCCCTCTACCAGGCCACCCTGCCTAGGAGCCAGCTGATTATGGACAGAAACCTCTACAAGGCTAAGCATTTGCCTGGCAAGCTCAAGGACCGGTGTTTGATCCCCAGTACCATATGCCTCACTGGCCCCAAGCCAGCCACTGAAGCTGGGCATGGCTCATGCCCATAATCCCAGCACTGGGGAGGCTGAGACAAGAGGATCACTAGGAGTCCAAGCTTATTTTCCTCCTTTAACTTGGGGTGCAAGATTTGTCTCAGCAATAAGAGAAAAGTATCTAAACTTGGCTGGACTCTTTGGGCCTCTAGTGCACGGACAGATCTCTTGCACTCTTCTGCATTGGACTTTTTGGGTGAATAGTATAATCCTGTAAATTATGTGCCCTGTGTTAAGTCTACTCCCTTGGAATCCCTGACTACAGCAGCTTCTAAAAGCTATGGAAATTAAGAAAAGTAGAACATTCAAGAATATTTTATTGACTCTAGATACGTCAACAATAATAGGCAATCAATAAGCCACCAGCATGCCAACTTTTCAAAAGAACTTTCACTTTAATTTACTGTATAAAGACTTTCTCTTTGTAAGTGCTAGTAGTAGACCATTAGAGTTTCAGTTCCAGGAACAGAGGAAATGAAATACTGATTGTATTCACTGCTCCTTCCCTAGTGCCATGATCGTGTTCTGGCGCATGACAGGCATTCGAGAAATATTTGTTGGTTGAATGATGGAAGTAGAATTGCATGGTATCTATGTATTGTCTTCACACTTTTTTGAGAAGAGCAACAATTAAAGGAACAACTAAATTCCTAATACTCTTCTCATTCTTTAGTCTTCTGGTAACCTTTCACTTCTTCCCTGGAGTATGTTTTATATATGCTTTCAAAGTTATACAATTCATTCATTTTAGGAAAACCAACTAATACCAAAATATAAAAACAAAGAAATAAAAGTTATTCTTGACTTCATCATCAAAAGCCAACACAACTAACACAATGAGGTACTTCCTTTCAGGCTTTATTCTGTGCATACACATATAAGCATCCCCACACCCATCTGAGATGATCCCAAAAGTCTCTGCCCTAGACTGTGGAACTTGAAGCTTTTTTTTTTCCTCGAAGCCCTTTTCTTTACTTCTCATAGCTCTTGGTTCTCCTCCTGTCCCCTAAATCTGTTCCTTCTCCAGTATTTAGGTCCTTGCTTTTTCCCTCAGCTTGTTTCAGAAGATGTGCCTGAAATTCCTCGAGACTTCTTCTACCCGCAGCCTCAATTTTACCTTTTTGCCAGGACATCAATGCTCCTCTAGCCCCACACAACTATACCGCTGTGTACCATGTCCCACTAAGACCAGATGACTCCAGTGCGTGGTGGCATACGCCCGTAATCCCAGCACTCAGAAAGCTGAGGCAGGAGCATCACAAAAACAAACAAACAACTCACTTCTTTCTTTTAATCTTTTCTTTATTTGGTACAGGGTCTCACTACACAGCTCAGACTCCATAGTGATCTGACTGTCTCAGCCTCCCCGATGCTAGCATTACAGGTATGCACTACCACACCGTTTCAGCGGCTGGCTTGGGGCACCTGGGATTCCCGGGTCTGCACAGCACACGATACCAGAGATTAAACTCATGTCACTGCACTTGCCAGGCAGGTGCTTAGAGCGCTGAGCTATCTGCCCATCCCTCCCTTACCCACTGCTGACAATGGCAGAACTCCATCTCACTCCCAACAGTTTGTGAGGCCCCATCCAATCACCCATCCTTTCTATTCTCACCTCCATCTTTTACCACTGCTATTTTTTGTTGTTGTTTAGGCCTTTACACTTATTTTCTTTCTTTTAATGTATTTAGTTGTTACAGGGTCTCACTATGCAGCTCAGACTCTAGTGATCCTCTTGTTTTCAACCTCCCCAGCTCTGAGATTACAGGCCTGCGCCACCACACCCAGACTGGGGGCAGGGCTGGTACAGCATGTGGTACAGGGGATCAAACCTCAGTCCTTGCGCTTGCCTAAGCAGGCGCTTTCATCCATTGAGCTATCTCACCGGACCCCAACACTTATGTTATTTTCTACTTGTGCCTGTTTGCTGTATGACCAGAACACCAATCATCGCTACCCACCACTTAAGCCCTTTTATCTCACCATCCTGTATTCAAAAATTTATGGCTACTCCCCACCCTTACAAAATGGGATTCTAATCCCTTCACAGTCTTAGCTCAGATTACTTTATATCCTTGTTTCTCACTATTCCTGAAAATAAACACTTTGCTCCAGCTGGCATGGTGTATTCTGTGGTAATCCAACCTACAACATTTATGACTGAAACCTTTATTAACCATTATGACATGTTCTAAATATTTACTGGGCATTTGCTACTCTGCCAGACAATATACTAATGCTGTGGCCACAAGGGTGAGCAAGAGAAACCAAGTCCCTTTCCCCACAGAACTTACAGGCCACCCAGTTATACAAGGGAGCACCTGAGACATGACATTCCTGACATTCCCAACCCCAAGGGCTTGCTTCCTTCCTCCAAAAACGTCAAATGTGTCAAGACATCCCTAGCGGCTGAACACTGTGGTCTAGGCTGCAAGTAGGGCAGGAGTTCAGAAGAAAGGAAGGGCTGGCCCAGTGAGAGCTGGAGCGCTTGGCATGGTTTCTTTGAAGATGTAGAGCTCAACCTGGACCTAAGAGCAGGCACCCGACAGTGAGGGCTGTCTTTCCTTGGGAGATGCTGAAAGCACAGCGCTGGAGGGGAAACAAGGGCACAGCAGCTGTGTATTTTGGATAAAGGCTCACGCGTCCACAGAGGACACACTCTGCCCCAGTGAGGCCTGGGGACCCACAGTGGATGTGAGAATGACTCAGCCTCGGCTCCTACCACCCCGGCCAGTGGGGCTCTCTTACCACCAGAAGTGAGCCACTGCACAAGCAATTCAGAGAAAATACCAAGTTGGGATTAGGATGGGTGCGGGGAGGTCTGGGTGTGCGCGGTAGAAGCACTCGTAGAATAACATTTTTATTCACCGACATCCATATGTACACACTGAAAACAATCGCCTTGCTTCCAGGTTCTCACTCACTTCTTTACCTTATGCAGGGATTTGTGAAGCAGGCAGAACGCCTAAGGTTGTGTTTACCAGATAAGCAAACCCAGCACGGATCTTTTCCTTACGTTTATGTCGGGAACATAAACAGGCGAGAACATCCTGTCCATCTTGGTCCCCTGAATCTAGAGCAGAGTGCGCAATCAAGTTCTATAATTGTATCAGTCACCTGAGAGATGTAACGGAGCCAGGCACACTTACAAGGACGGGATGCAGGCTGCCCCCTGAGAGGGAACGGGGCCCGGGACCCGAGGTCCCTCCTCCATTCCTCTGCACCTCCGCAGGTCCTGCCTGCACCGCCCACCACCACCAAGGCCCGTCCAAACCACAGCTACCCTTTAAGCTCAGCTCCTAAAATTTTCGGCACAGACTGGGTTTCCCTTGTGATGATCTCACCGTCCCACCCCCAGTCTTCCAGGGACATCAGTGTGTCCAGCTCGCGTACACTGGCTCATAGGAGGTTTTTAGTAAGTACGTATCGGCTGAATGAGTGAATTCCTGGGACCTCTACAACTCAGTAAAGATACCATGGGTTCTTACATCCGTCCCTCGCAACCCGGAGGAGCTCACTACTGCCGAGAACTTCGGGTCGGGCCGGGGGCCCCGGGAATCTGGCGCGCCACCGGGGCGCGGGTCCTCAGCTCAAGTCGGGACTAAGGCCCCCGGCTTCCACAGAACGCGCGCATCACGAGGTCGTTAAATGTTTTCCCATCTGCAAAATCCTCGGGGAAAGTGGTGAATAACAAAGCCGGGAGCGCGCGAATCTCGGAGCCTACCCCTTGCCAAGCCCTGAAGGGGAACGAGAAGGGCGCGCGCGAGCCAACCGCGGCTCCGGGAAGAGGCAGCGACTCCCGCCGCCAGAGAACCGAGGGCTGGAAGGCTCGCGATATCTGGGGGTCGGGATCTTGCTGCGTTGCCTAGCGACAGGAGGACGCTCGCGGGACCCCAGGCTAAACCCCGCCGTAGCCTTAAATCTCCTACCATGGGGGAAGAAGGCGGCGGCCGCGGCTGTGGGACCACTAGGGAGCTGCAGAAGCTGAAGCAGCAGGCGATGGAGTACTACCGGGAGAACGACGTTCCGCGCAGGCTGGAGGAGCTGCTCAACTCCACCTTCTACCTCCAGCCTGCCGACGTCTACGGGCACCTGGTAGGGACCTGGGACGCGTACCCCTCCTCCCTCCCACTCCTCTCCCCCTCCTCGCGCTGCGGCAACGTGCTGCGCCTGCGCCGTAGAGTCGCGCATGCGTGCTGTGCTGTGCCTGCCTGCGGGCCGGCGAGGATGCGAAGCTGGATTCCCTAAGCGGGGAAGTGGAGAGCGCTTCTGGGGTGAAGGAGCACTGAGAGGAAACGTGGGAAAAAGGAGACAGGGAGGGATGTAGCTAGGGCGATATCTCAAAACCGGGCAGCCCGCCCGTGGGCTTGTTAAACACGGGTTTGGGTTCCGCCGCTACTTCCGCGGCCGGCTAGGACCCCGGGATGTACGGCTTGGCATTTGCTGTGACTTGGCCTCCGTTCATCCCAGGTCCTCATCTGGCTGACTCCCACGGCCTCCAAGTTGTGCCCGGATATCAAGCCAGTGTGTTTTGCCTGGTGTGCCCGCCTCTGCCCCTCTGCCCGGGTGCTGCTCCCCAGAGGGCCAGCTCCTCTTTAAACTACACAATTCACACCTTTTTTTTTTTTTTTTTTTTCCGGAACCGGGGATTGAACTCAGGCCTTTGCACACCTAAGCCTTGAACCCTCGCCCTGACCAAGAGTTCTTGCGTGCTCCTGTAGCATTCCCTGTGTGTACCTCTGAATCAGCCTTCCTACGTTTGAACGCCGGGTGAAACTAGGGGCCTTTTATACCACCTTCTGGGGGGCCCTGTGCCCAGCCTTGAGATCTGGCTTAGTCCACATCCTTAAAATAAGTAGTTGAAAAGAAAGTGTTCGTTCCACATCTATTAGGCCTATCAAGCACTTTTTGCCTGGAAGGCTGTGTTGGTGGGGCTGGTAGGATTTTGCACTGTGGTGAGGGAAAGTGAGGAAGCAGAGGGCAAGCGGAAGCCAAGTGCTGTGAAGCATGACACACCGCGAGTGTTCACCAGGATATCTGGTTGGGCTCCATGTGTTCCTCAGTCTTGGCCTCTACATCGAAGCTTTGGGTTTTTGGGGGGTGGGTGGGGAGCCCCTTATGCTATGTGTTGTGTCACAATCCTTAGAACTACGGCAAGGGAGAAATTCTTTCATTTCATGAAGAACCTGTTTGTTGCCCATGGATTTAAATGACTTCCCTAAGGGATACAGCCACAGAGTTAAAATCAAGCCAGGTCTGTGTCCCCAGAAGCTAGCACAGTTCCTGCCACATGATGGAGACATAAAAAAACTATTTATGGGATAAAGGAGCACTTGACTGTGACTCCGTTCTGTCTCTTGCTGGAGGACTTCTCAAAATCTACTTAGTCGCACTTCTTCACTTCATAAAGACAGCAAGCCCCGTCTTACCACGTAGTGTGCACAGCTGAGACTGGAAACTTGGCACTCTTGATCCCCAGCACAATGCTAGTTCCCATCTAGTAGGCAGCCTGACTCTGGTTTGTACAGCTCTCTGGGACCATGCACATTAGTTAGGGACAAAAGTCTCTGACACCTGTAATAACCTGAGTGTGCTCAATGGTACATGATTGTGTGCTAGACTGAGGGACAGATCACATGCCAATAAAGAGATTCAGGGATGGGAATAATCCCTGTAAGGGACAATAACAAGGAAAGTCTTGGCTTGGACTCTGAAGGATATTGAGGAGTTTCACTGACAAAAGCCAACGTTTTTGTTCTCCTAGTCACTACCTTAGTTTTGGCCAGCTCTTTCACTTAGCCTCCTCTTCCATTAGCCTCTCTAGTTGAATGTTGACAGAGTACGGTTCCAGACACCCAGGGTTGTAATTCTCTTGTGCAGAAACTTCCTTGCTTGGATCACACACTTCCCTGTGTGCTGTATGGGGCTCAGACTTATCTTCTGCTCCTTGCCCACTCCCCTGGCACTTGCTGTCCCATAAAGCCATCCTATTACCTCCAAGCATCCACCTCCACTTTCCTTCTTGTCCACTGCCTGTTGAAATATTATACCACCTCCGGTGTTCAACTCAGATGCCATTTCCTTTTTACTTCTAGAATAGAAGAAGTCAAGGTTGGGAAAGATACCTGTAGGTAACAGCAGTACTGTTCCTACTTGTTCCTTCATTATAAAACTTACGATTGAAAAACCAGGAATCAGGCCAATCTGGGTTTGAGTCTCAGCTTGTGAGAGTGTGTTACATGTATGGGCCCCCATGGACAGTCCACTAGTAAGAATGCTGCTTTGGAAGCCCCTTCCTTGTTGACTTTAGACTTAGCCATGTTTTGATCGATAGGGCCTTGGCAGGCATGATTCAAACAAGCTTGGTAAATGCTGGCGTACTGAGGCTGGTCCTCACAGAAGCTGCTCCTCATGCTGTGAGGAAGCCCAATTACCCTGCTGGAGAAAGAGACCAAAGAGAATCTTTGGCAGATGTCTGGCCACCAGTGTATTCTGTGAGAAAGACAGATGGCCCATCTGTAGCTAACCTGGCCATCCCAGCTGAGGTACTGGCCTTGTGACTGAAGCTTCCTGAAATATTCTGGCTCCAACGTAGCCTCTAGGTGACTGCATCTGCATACAAGACCCCACATTCACCCAGCTGAGCCTGCCCAGATGGCAGAGGATGGGCATGTAAGTAGTCTCTACCACTAAGTTCTGGGCTGAACTGTTCCAAGCAGATCAGTAAAACATTGGCTTTGAGATCCTGGACAGTTTCTTTCACTGGAATCCAGTGTGTGCCTCTGAGGAATGGAGATGATCTCACCTACCTCCTTATGAGAAATCAGTGATACTCATAATGTATACAGAAGGCCTAGGCATGTGTCTGACTGTAATTTACACAAAAATCCAGTATATGCCAGACACTGTGGTGTACAGTACAGTGAAAAAAGACAGTCAAAATTACCTTCAAGGTAACATTAAGCCTTTGAAAAGTGCTAATTCCTTCCCCTTTTAACATTGTACCTCACTGTAGGTGCTTACTCCTTATCAAACTCTCCACATGATCTGTAAGCCAGACTCTTTTTTTCCCGATTCCTTCTACATTGATTTTCATCCTTACTCGGTAGCATACAAACCACCACCCCAAATGCACACATCATTTGAAAACTGGCATTTGCTTTGGTTGGGCCTGACTTCCACCTCCGAGTTGCCTCACTGCTGTGGACGTCAAACAGACCTACGGCCATGGCTCAAGTCACAGGATCCCTAACTGATGAACTGAGGGACAAGAGACCTGGTGCTCTCAATGGAAACGAAGATCCTGATGCAGTGCTTGGAATAAAGAGGGTGACGAGGCTATGCCTGCACTTCTCCTTCTTCCTGTCTTTTCTCTGTTCTTGTTTCTTTTCAGAGAAACATCACCTTAAACCTTTTTACTCAGGCTCCTGGCATAGAGCTTCAGTTTCTTTCATTCTTCATCTCTCTCGGGTCACTTCCTAATGGCTTCTGCTTTTCCACCTCAATGAAGGTGCTATTACTAAGTCTCCCAACAATTGGCTTTAAACATGTAAGACTACGCATAGCTGACAGTAAGACCCAGCTGCTGATCAATTTCTTCCCCATTCAAAACTCTGATGCCTTCCTAAGCGGAGAGAAAAAACAGCCTCCTGCAGGTTACTTAAATGTGAATTCATCACCATTTGTAGGAACTGACTGACTTCTGTATTTGGGCAGAGGGAATTGAAGGAATTAAGGTGACTATAGGAAGGTCTGCTAAAGAATGACACGGGGCCTTTAAAGTGTCTGAGCTGCTACTCAGAGTTGAAAAATCTACACACTGTCCCCATGTGCCAGGCTCAATGTGTGAGCACAGGTGTGCTTGTGTGTGTGTGTGTGTGTGTGTGTGCGTGCGTGTGTGTGTGTGTTGGAGGCTCAGTCCAGATCTCAGTAGTGAGGGCAGGGCTGTACCCACAGAGCTATTGCTCTAGCCCTGCCATGAAGGACACAAATGGAAAGGTTTAGTAGAAGGAGGCAGAGGTGGCAAGCCTACGGCACTTGTGCTACAGCAGGCTGCTGTATCACTGAAAGTTCTAGACCCGGTGTGGTGTCGCACGTGTGTAATCCCAGCACTGGGGAGACTGAAAACAAGAGGATCACTACAAGCTGCTTAGTAAGACCTTGGACCAAATACATAAAAAAGTTCTAAAATATTCACCATCACGGAACTAGTGTAAATGTGAATGACCTTTGGAAATGAATTTTTTGTGTCTGTTAAAGGCAAACTGCTTTGCTGAACTTGCTATGCCTCCCACCATCTCTAAAGTAGTGGGGAAAAGTGTCCTGGATGGACTTGGGCTTCCAACCCTGCAAGTGGAAGTGTTCTGCACCATTCAGAATCTTCCCAAGGTACGATGCAGTTGAAATGTATTCTTCCAAGATGTCCTGGCCACTGCATTTCTCAATAACTCTTATCTAAACTGTAGAAAGTTGTTGGTTTGTTGGTTGGTTTGGTACCAGGGATCGAACTCAGGACCTTGTATTTGCCAGGCGGGTGCTCCTGCCACTGAGCTATCTCCCCTAAACTGTAGAAAGTTAATGTTTTAAAAATTCCGTGTTTGTAAAATAGATGTATGATTTATTCATTAACAATCATGTAAATATATCAATCAGCTATGGTTTATGTTTTTATTAAGTGTAATTTTAATATAGCTGCTAACCTGAAAATGATCCTAGAGAAAGAAAAGCAAAAATAGTCTCAAAAATCTGACATGACTAATAAACTGTATAAATCTCTGTATAAGTTTATAAGTTTATTCATGTACCAATTTGTAGATATGTAAGCTGATTAAAGAAAATAATTTTTAACAATTCATTTTAATTCACTTTAATTACTACCTATTTGTTAGAAATAATTTTGGTGCACACCTGGTGTCTTACTTACTTTTCGCATTGCGGATACAAAACGCCCAAAACCCAGAGTTGAAGGAAGAAAAGTTTATTTCAGCTCCAAAGCAGAGCAGCATGACAGGCAATCCCGAGGAGAAACAGTCCCTGGTGTCCCAGACAGAGGGTGGCAGCGGCAGCAGTAGGCCTGCCTGCTTTCTGCCCCCTTATATTGCATTCAGGCTTCAACCTTTTGGTGGTGCCACCCATTCCCAGGGTGGAGAGTCCATTATCCACACCCAGAACTATTCTAAGCCCATTCAGTTATCACACCCCGAGTTCCAGTATCACACACCCTAAATCCAGCCAGCTGCAAAAAGTCCCAAGTATGAGTGCCTGAGGCTTTGGAAGGACATCTAGACACAACCTGTCTCAAAACGTAAAGGTCTAGGGACGTAGCTCAGTGGTACTGTTTGTCTGATGTACATGAGGCTGTAGGTTCCAGCTGTAGCACAAAAAAAAAAAAAAAAAAAAAAAAAAAAAATTTAAATTTTTTTGTGGAACCAGGGATTGAACTCAGGCCCTTGTGCTTGCCAGGCAAGCACTTATTCTACTGAGCCATCTCTCCAGCCCCCCCAAATTTTTTTTTTAAAATCTGTTCCTATCTTTGTAGCTGTTTATTAGAAAGGTAGTGATTAAAATGAAGTTCAATGTAGCTTTTTCGTTACATTATTTTAACAAGGCAATTTTAAATGTTTTATGAAGTTAGATTTTATAGTGCTTCAACATTTATAAAAATATCTCAGTGAAAATTGTTATCTTCCATTTTCCTCTTGAAATCGGTGATAGAGTAGCTTGCATTGAGAGCTGGGTTAATTCAACTTCCTCCTCTCTGTGCGAGGTAGAGGCCGTGTAGGGCACATTTCTGTCATTTCTAGAGCGTCTGCTGTGTGACAATCCCCACGCACTTTGATGTCTGTGAGAATGCTTTGCCTGAGCTGGCAGATGCAGAGGCGGCAGAAAGGAGCCTGGCGGTGAGCGCTGCTGTGCAGTGGGTCAACGAGAGCATCACTGAGGAGGTGCGGGGCCTGGCACCGTCCAAGCAGGCTGAGGTGGACGGCGTGCTCAGGTACAGCTTCCACTGGAAATAAAAAGCGTCCAGTGTACCCAGCAGTATCTGTTGCCTTTACACTCCACTGGGGAAAAATGGGTCCAGTGTATACAGCAGGCAAATCAATGTAAGAAGCATGTATCAAAGCAGCAGAATTTTACAAAAACAAACAAACAAACAAAAAAAAACTTTAGAAACACCTACATAGGACCATGGAGACAGCCCTGTGGCATAAATGCCTGACTGGCATGTGCAAGGTCCCGAGTTCGATCCCTAGTACTGAAAGGAACAGAAAGAGAGAGAGAGAAAGAAAAAGAGGGAGGGAGAGAGGGAGGGAGGGAGGGAGGGAGAGAAGAGAAGAGAAGAGAAGAGAAGAGAAGAGAAGAGAAGAGAAGAGAAGAGAAGAAAAAAAAGAGGAAAGAAAAGGAAAGCAAAGCAAAGAAAGGAAATAGCTAGATACAAAATTCTGTTACTGAAATCTTACTGTGTACGCTTCCGTAGGGCCTGTTGGTCTCCTTTTATTCACGACACCTCCCCAGGATGCACCAAGGTCCTTATGAAAATGATAAAGCGTACAGACCTGCACGCTGGCCTTCCCCCCGCCCCAGCCCTCACACGCTGCCTCTGTACCCCTCATTCCCTTCCTATGGTCACAATGGCTGTGCTCACAACTCTATTCCCTCCCCACAGCCAGGTCTTCTGCGCTCAGCCTCTAGGTTGACTCTAAAATACAAAAACCGAGGAAGAATTTACTGGGCTGCCTAAGTAACTGCTTAGTTCCAAAGCAAGGAATGGGTTAGGATTAATTTTCCTTTTTGCAGGGGGGAAACCTTTTCCATTTGTGGCTAAGCAAAAGTCAAACTAGACCCTCTCTTCTGAAGCCTGGTCATTTGCTCAGTGTTACAGAATGTCATGTTCTGGTTTGCCTCAGAGTTGGATGATGACCTTTGTTAATACTTTTTAAAAGTTTTTGTTTTTCCTGGAGTTCCTGAATGTTTTTTAATTTACTGATTCTTTCTTGGGGGGTGGCTTATTTGCTGTTATGAAATTTTTGGTTTTTCTCCAAGTTCCCAGTCACACCTTCAATTTTATTTACCCCCACCCTTTTTTCCTGGAGTTTTTTCCTCCCTAAATCTCCCGTCAGAACAGGTTCCTCTTTGAGCCCACTGCAAATACCCTAAAGACTTCATGTTCTTCTGGTTCTCGATCCTGTATTTTCCTCTTTTTAACTTTCTGGATTATTCTTTGAAAGTAAGGAGGTGAAAGGGGATTGGGATCCAAGCCTTTGGATTCTTACATGCACAGAAATGTCAGTACTTTGCTCTTGTGGTTGATAGGCGACAGGAGTTTTCTACAGTCCTGTAAAGATGTGGCCCCTACTGGCATCTAGATTATTAACATATTGAACAAAAATCTAATTCTTATGTCCTTTGTTTCTTTCTGTCCACAGAAGCTTTTATCCTTTTACCTTTTTATTTGGGGTGAGAACCAAGAGTGGAAGGGGATGCTGAAATTTTATGTAATTATACCTAAGTGGGAGTTCCCCAAAGTTTTTTCATTACTTATGTTAAGAACCCCTCCAAAAAAAGAAAAAACAAATATTTCATCTAATGCTATGTTTCACTGCCTATTCTTCATGTTATTTATAAAAAAAAAAAACAGTAACCTTTACTCAAACTATGACTTCAAATTTGATTCTGAAAATGCAAGCAGAGCTCAAATAATTTAACAAATGTGCCCTTGAAACTCTTAAGCATTTATTTCCAGGCCAAATGTATTTCACTTTCTGAACAGTTTTATAATCACATCATTTTTATTTTTGCTTTGGATATTTATATCCACATACATAGTCCAATTTATATAGCAGCTAAATAGCATATTTTTAAAAGAGGTCAGCTATAAAACATGAACTAAAAGCACAGAATGGCATTCTGTATAAATGGCATGTACCATGGGATGGCCGATTTTAAAGCCATATCTTCTTGCCATTAAGGACATTCTTTGCAAATAAAGTGCAAGAAGACAAGGAGAGAAAAGAGCTGGAAAAGATCCAGGAAGACTCAGCAGGCACTGTACCACCACCTGAAATACTGCCACCACCACCTCCTCCCACCAAAAAAAGGGCACAGAAGCCAGGTCAGTGGTTTATCACGCTACATAACCCTTCCTGAAAACATCTGAGGAAGAAAGGTTTATACGTGGATTGTTCCTGTGCCATCCATTCTCCACACCGTATTTCCCCTGGAGCTACTGGGCAGGGTTGACAATGTTTCACCTCACCCTCCCTTGATTTTAATTTGTAAGATAAAATTATTTCTCATTCAGAGATGAGCACTTAGCAAAAAGCACAGAACAGTGGCAATATGGGGATGGGGTGTGGCCAGGGGGAGACTTTCATCTCCCCTAGAAATTTCCATTAGGTAATCCAAAAGCCACTCCATATTTCAGAGTGTTGAAATTCTTTGATATGGACAATCAATATTTTCTAAGTCCCATGTCACATATAAATTGAGGTTTTTTTTTTTAAAGCCTTGCTACTTTAAAGCACATAGAAATTATCACATCAATTTGCCCTTTCTTCTGTGTCTTCCAACAGATTTCTAACCTCACCCCCTCCATTAGGTTAATGTAGGAGTTGGTGGTAGGATAGTATTTTCATGTCTCCCAACCTGGAGCATGTTCCTTAAGGGAACATTAATGAATGCCTTATTCAGTGATAATTAACCTTTTAGAGGCTGAGTGCCCAAAGTGCAACCCCAAAACCACTTCATTGCAAAGCAGCAACACTGCCCCATGTTGCCGTTCACCGATGCCCAGCACCTGAGCGGATGCTGCAGCAACCTGGTCTGTGTGCTGACGAAAGAGGGCCTCGCGTGTCACTGAGGCATGCGTGCCACAGCTTCACCACTGGCCTTAGGCAACTTGTTGTCATTGCCAGCGTCTTGCAATGTGACACCCAATAAATGTGGGATCCATTGAAGATGGCGGCACTAGACCAAAAAAGAACCAGACACCATGGAGACACGGGCCCTTATTTCACTGATATGACTGCTGAGGTCCAGAGAAAACAAGAGTATTGGCCAAAATGAAGGAATCCACTTTCAGCGTCAGTCCAGATTCAGTTTCTGGGTGATCTCCTGGACAAGTCTCACAATCACCATAACCTGCAGTTTACTAATAGATGGGTGTAATGTTTACCTCACCCAAAGGAGTCCATATTGAATGGGCTCAAACCTCTTGGGCAAAATCCATGGCTTGCGATTATTTGAGCACCAGTAAGCACCCCACATACACACTTGTTGGTAGGTTAGGTGGAGAACAGGCTCCAGCTTCAGCTTTCACTCCTTTTTGTTGAGCCTCCTACCTATAAAAGAAGCATTTAGAAGTATAGTCTTGTGAAAGGCTTCCTAGAAAGGAATCTGCCCATGTTTTCTCCTCCAGGAAAAAAGGATTCTCCCATAGAGAAACCTGTCATACCCCCAGAACCTGCGGAGCCGGTACTCTGTGGCAGCATGGCCATAGGGGCGGTGTCACTCGCTGTTGCCAAGACCAGTGCCATTCTGGGCAGTATTCCTCTGTACTTACACATCGCCTCCCTGAAGCACAGTCAGGTGAGTGTCGGTAACACTCTATGACAAAGAGCCCTTGAGTGTCTCAGCGAACGAACCACCTTTCTCATTTGCCCTGCTTTCCCCGGCTTAGGAGCAGTCAGCGCCACTGACTATGCCTCTGCTCATGGCCTCTGTGGTCAGCTGTGGCAAGTCATCACCTGGGAAGCTCAACTTGATGAAGGAAGTGATCTGCATACCCCATCCTGGACTGACAACTAAACAAGTACCTTCGATTATCCCGGATGACTTTTTCTGCAAAAAGAAATACTCTATCATGAATGTGTTCTTAGCATAGATCCTTTATGACACCAAGGGAGGGGGAATGAAGTATAAAATGAGAAAAATACTTTTGGAAATGTGGGAAGTAGACATAAAGCAAGACCTCATAAAAGGAACATATCTTAGATGTCTGGTTCAGCATAGCGTTGGTTTGTGTTAGTGATTTACGGAGAAGCCAGGACAGTGACTCTGGAGTAACTCTGACGGTGTGGGAAGGTTGTTGCCTGGAGGACCTGGGATGTCTTTACTGACTTGTATATGCCTTTACTAGCACTTTCCTAGTAGCCCACTCTGCCCAAAACAAACTCCACACCTAGCAGACTGCCTCACACGTAAAAGGCATTTTACATGTATTATGGAATGAATGAATCCTAAGTCACTTCTGAGAGGTGCACTGATGTCTAGACTTCTCTTCGTTGGTCTAGTCAAAATGCCTCTGAAAATCTCCATATTCTTCCAATTTGAGACCTTCCAGGTTCAAATGTTAAAAAAACAAACAAACAAACAAAAACATGGGAAGCTTCTCTCCTACTCTCCTATCAACACGTTCTGGCTGGTGGTACATACATAACTGTCCATGCCACTCAGTGGTTCAGAGCCACCCGCAGTGGGACATACAAACCATGGCCCTGTCATGAACATGTTAATTAGAAGTGATGTTTTCTAAGATAGTGGAAATAAATTTATCAAAAGCCTGGATATTTTCTTTATATATATTTTTAAAACAAAATCATTATTACCTTGTACCTCATCAGCTACACACCGGCCCTTATTTCTGGCTCACCATCTGTCAGCTCACTCAGATCCTGTCACCAGGCTGGCTCTTTCCTTCAGCTAACATCTGTAGAGTTCTTGGTGTCACAGAAGTTGCGGTGCCCCTCTCAATCTGCCTTACCACATATATAGACTGTACCATCATCACAATACTTTTTACTTATGTGACCACACAGTGATACTGGCCCAGGCACTCTAATCAGAAGTACCTTGGGCACATCTGACATGTACCACAAAAAGGTTATAAAGTTTGGCCAAGAGACAATGAAAGAGAATGAAGTGATCTTGGTCCAGCCAGGGGAACCTACCAGTTCTAAACAAGGAGCTAAAGCAGAGACTCTCATGTGCAGTCCAATGCAAACCCAGAGCCATCCACTAATTTACTCTTCTGAATCTGTAGACCACACGCCTAACAGTACCATACAGGGACTCCATTACAGTATTCCAAGTTAAGAATAGTCACCTGTGGTGTAAGATTTTATGTTTCAAATCTGTAGACTACAACTGTGGAAAACTGGGTTACTCTACTTGCAGGGTGTGGAGATGGTTCTGGAAATTCAGAAACAAATTAACAAAATACTGGAACTGGTATGTCAACAAATTCTATGGTATCTTGTTAATAACACTTTCTATGCCCAATTTTTAGTTCATTTTGCATCAAATCAGTATTACTTTAAGAAATTATTTATTTGCTTTGGGTTTCCCACATAAACCGAGTATATATACATTATTTACTGCTGACAGATCCATTTTTCTAAGGGTACTCAGTCTCATTTTGATTTCTGATGCAGCTGGCTGTGTGCTAAGCTCATTCTTTAGGATTTATAAGGATGTAAGGTGTTCGTGCCTTATAGGGGAAACAATCTGCTGGACCTACAGGAGCAACCCCAAAGTGGTAGGTTGTATTCCATAAGAGCAAGAGGCGAACTGCATCCTGCAAAGAGCGGCTGTGTGCAGCTGGTGTTCTCACACACTGTGTGCATACCTTATTTATAGGAGTAGAAACACATGAACGTGTGTGTGCATACTGGACATATGTGACAGGAGGTAGAAAGTAATATTGAACTGAAGAGAGAATACACCTGAATTAGAGAAAGTGTTTGGGACTTCAAAAAGTAGAGTATACCTACAATCATTCATGTGTATGTCTGTGTGTGTGTGTGTGTGTGTGTGTGTGTGTGTAGCATTCATTGTAGCAGACCAGCTGACTAGTCCCCCGAGTAGGGAGCCAGGAGACTTGAAGCTCTGGTTGCTGCCAGAGTTGTCTGATGATCCCAAGTTATGTGATTTTATCTTCTGTCTCACAGCCCCCTCCTCCAAAACCAGAGAACAAAAAAGGACTGAATGGAAACAAGAGAGGTCAAGTGAGTACATGTAGTTGCTTACCACACTTATCTAGGACACTGTATGTATTTCTTCCTGCCCCCTTTACCCTCCTAGAGTCACTTTTCTTTAAGGGCAGAGCTAAGGCAAGTAGAAATAATAAAGTGGTAGCGCTCCAGCGCCCAAGCCCAGGGCTGGGATAGCAACCTGCCGCCGCCTTTTTATCACCAGCCTGCTGGCCATCGCTGCCTGTAGCTGTCAGCCAGCTGCAATCTCAGAGGGCTCAGGAGCATCTGTGAGCAACAAGATTGTGTCTGACCTTATAGGTTAAGGCCTTGGGAAGTAGGCGCTCACAACTAGCATATGAAAGGCATATAGGATATTTTATTCCTTATTTATTGTTTTGTGGCCAGCTCAGCCCACCCTGGGGCGGGCCTGGTGTGGCATGTCTTGCTGGGGATCGAACTGGGGTCCATGCACACATGTCTAAGCTTGCCTAAGCAGGTGCTTTAGGCCACTGAACTATCTCACCGGACCCCCATATAGGATATTTTAGACTTTCATTTCACCACTACTGGAGAAAGAAAATGCACAAAAAGATGGCCATTTTTTTTCTACCTGGTCTCCCAAAGGACAGAGGCCCCATTCCAGGTGAGTTTTCATTTCTCCAATTATGGGGTAAAAAATCCTGTTATAGAAATACAGTGATTGTCAAAAAAGTCAGACAAACAGCCCGTGTGAAACGGGGCCACACTGGCCTCCAGAGTCTTGCAACCACTGACCTGGGTTGGTCAGTCTACACAGCCTTCTCAGATTACAAATAGCAAGCCAGGATATAGCTCAGCAGCACACACACCTGCCTTGCAAGCGCGAGGACCCTGGTTCAATCCCCAGTACTGCATGCCGTGCTAGCCCCAGAACTCTGGGTGCACTGTGCCAGCCCCAAAGCCAGGCATGGTGGCGCACATGTATACTCCCAGAGCTGGGGAGGCTGAGACAGGAGGATCACTATGAGTCTGAGCTGCATAGTGAGACCCTGTAGTAAAATACATAAATTTTTTAAAGATGTACTATACATGTGTATCTATGTATATAAAATCGCAGTAATGCATTTTTCACTAAAGTCTCCAATCTTTTTAAAAATAGAACTGCTCCTGAAGGCATAGCACATCATTGTTTTAGCTGTTATGTTCATCTAGAGGAAAACATGTTGGAGGGGTAGCTGAGTAAGAGGCTGACGGGTGTCCACAGGGACAGCCTGGGGATTCACTGAATGGGTAGTTTAGGCTAGTCCCACAGTGGTGAGTGGGTACAATGGGAACACAGGCCCACTAGCAAGAGAAAACCCACACAGTACAGAAAAATCTACTGCCCAAAGCCCTATGAATAGGGCTCAGAAGTGGGATTACTTGAGAGCCACTGGATCCCACCTTTAAAGAGCTCCGTCCAGTCGTCATCACTGCCCATCACAGGAAGCTCCAGGAGCCTTAATGTAATGTGCTAACATGCATGATTTTCTTTTGCTCTTGCAGCAGCCAGTCACTGGCAAGATGTCTCATCTTGGCTGTCTAACCATTAACTGTGACACTATAGAACAGCCCCTGCTTCTAATCCAGGGGGTCTGCGCAAACCTGGAGCTACAACTGGGAATAAATCTGCACCTGGCCATCAACTGTGCTGGACATGAGCTGATGGACTATGTGAGTCTCCTCTCTAGAACATTTGCTCCATGAGGTCCATAATTGTAAAGCCAGAGCTCAAGAGCTTGTCTGAATAGTTCCCAAATAGATGTGGCTGTTTTTAGAAATTAATAGTGGGTAAGGGATCCCAATGTCCCAATGTCACAGGAGAAAGCCAAAATAGCTACTTACTGGACAGTAACATAACCATATAACTTTAAAAATAAAGCCAGGCACAGTGGCATAGGGCTTTACCCAGGTATTTGGGAGGTGAGGTAAGAGGACTGCAAGTTCTAGGCCAGTGTGGGAAACTTCATGGACATTGTTTCAAAATGTAACAAGGGTGGGGGATGTAGCTCAGCATTCCTTGAGTTCAGTCTCAAGGACTGGGACAAAAAAAAAAAAACCAGAAAATCTTAGTTTTATAAAGTAATTCTACAATAAATATGAAGAGTATTTATCAAACATACAATGAAAAAGTCATTCAACTATGGACTTGTTAGGAAATTGCTTAATTTGATTACTACATTACAAAATTAAAACTACTGGAAAATAATTTAATAAACTGGCATGTTTTACAGAATATGATCGTTTTAATGGTAAATGTTGTTTGTCAAGTATAAAAAGTTGATCAGTTGTAACTACGATTTCTTCATATGTCCTTTTAGGGAGATGACTGTTACAGTGTATATTGTTATTCACTTTTTTAATGTACTTGGTACAGGGTCTACAGGGTCCACCGGGTCTCACTATGTAGATCGGACTCGTGGTGATTCTCCTCTTTTCAGCCTCCCAAGCTCTGGGATTACAGGCACACGCCACCATTCCCAGTCTCTATCATGGTCTCAGCATGCCCTGGGGGCAGGGCCAGCATGGCACTCTGAGGATTGAACCCCAGCCGCTGCACTCTGCCTAAACAGGCGTTTTAGTCTGCTGAGCTATCTGGCCAGCCCCCTTTCCTTCTTTTTTCTTTTAATGGTTATTTGCTTTAAAAAATAAAAATAATAATAATAATCTGTGGTGCTGGTGATCAATCAGGGCTCAACACGCAGTAGGCAAGCACTCTACCACTGAGCAACATCCCCAGCCCTCCCATGATGTAGAAAAATGTTCCCGAGCTTCTTGTGAGGAGTCATGTTTTTATTTAACTATATAAAGCCTTATCCTCGGCCTGGGTGAGGACCGAGAGCCGCAGTGATGACATGTCACCTGGTGATCACATTACCCAGAGAGGAACAGTTCTTAAAAGAGACTGGAAAACAAATTCATTGAAAACTGTTCTATTCCTCGCTTCCTCAGGCTAATACTCAATTTACCAGTATACCGGCGAAATCTGCATGTCAGGAAATCAACGTGATGTTTTCTGCCTTATACACACACGTACTTCTCACTGTCTGGCACACAGCGCTGTCTCCATTCTACAGAATGCCCAGCATTCTGACATGCATCGATGGTGACTTGGGAATTAACGTCCAACACAGGGCACAAGACAACACAGAGTCCTGTTTTAACCCTGATTCTAACTTTCAACTGCAGAGAAAAAATTGAATAGTGTGTAAGAGCTTAAGTTTTGGCTTATTTCTCAAAGTTCTTTTACTTTTTTCTAAAGAAACTAAGCACATAAAGGAATGTTTAATTTCCTATTCTTCACATAATGATTGGTTGCTAGACATACCATTAAGAAAAATAATTGCATGTTTTCATCAGCAACGTATACCAAGAACGAGGACTATGCTGACTGTTAGTGCTAAGCAGACTGGGTATTTATTGCTTATATTCCGTAAAATGTACTAGCTTGATATCAGATGAGTCTTACAATAATGTTAGTTCAAAGTCATTAGCATTTTTTCACAGACAAGATAAGATTTTTAAGCGTTGCCTTACAGGAGCTGAAAGTTCCTGCTGCTTTTTTAGCATGAAGTATAAAATCCCTCCAATTACGGACTTCTTGGGAATGTGTTAATTTCAATGGAATATCCAATCTGTTAGTGGTAGCAGCAGGAAAGAAAGTATAAACAAACCAAACTGCCACTCTGTCCATTCCACCTCCCTGCCAGCACCCCAGTGTTCCTGGTGCCACTTGAACACAGACCTGAAAGTAAGGCGCTTTGTTCGGAGGAATTCATGAGACAGTGCTACAGTCCAGCTTTCCAAAGTTTCTGCTAGAAGCTACGTGTGACCTAAGAGATACCTTCCCCTAAGTCATTTCACATCTCATATTGTTAATGCTCAAAAGCCTAGTCCGAGCTGGATGTGGTGGTGCAGGCCTGTAATCTCAGCTACTATGGACGCTGAGGGAGGATGAGGCAAGTTTGAGAGAAATCTGGGCCACTCAGACTGTCTCAAAACCTAAAGGGGGGCGCTGTCGGGGGGAACTCTAGCGCAGTGCTCCCTAGGTTCAATCCGCAGCACTGCAGATAAAAACTCTAGCTCTGCCTTCAAATTTTAGAATATTTACAGTGCAGGAAACAAATTATTTGTTCACTGTGTTGAAAGGCAGTGGGGTTTTTGAGTGGGCAGGTTTTGCAATATGATTGTTACTGTCTGAATTTGGGTTACTGTCCACCTGCCTAGGCAGCCAGGTACCTGGCACCATGTCATAACCCTAAATAAAAACACAATTCCCCACCTACTCTGTATTGCTTTGGTGTCGTGTGTGGAAGGCTCCATCCAAAGTCTGTGGGAAGCTCTAAAGATGACATAAAGAGGAACAGTGACTTGATTTCCAAAGTGAAACGCAAAGATTTCTCAGGTTGATGTGGCTTGAAAATCTAAGCCTTCACATAAAAAGAATGAAAAAGAATTTGATTGTCACCTTTAAAATCGGAACACGAACCCTTCATTTTGCTGTCTCCCTTATGCACACCAGAGTAAAGGAAAGTATGAAGTACTGACAGGCACCTACAAAAACGCGGCAGAGATGGTCGACCTGTACGTGGAGCTGATCAGCAAGTACCCTTCCATCATTGCTTTAATTGACCCTCTCAGGAAGGAGGTGAGCTTGCTAAGCTGCTTACTTTTTTTTTTTTTTTAATGTATTTGTACAGAGTCTCACTATTCAGACTCATAATGATCCTCCTGTTTTCAGCCTCCCCCGTGCTGGGATTGCAGGTGTGCGCCACTACGCCTGGTCTCAGTGGCCAGCTGGGCCTGTGGTGCCGGGGATCAAACCTGGGTCCTGTGCTTGCTTAAGCAGGTGCTCAGTCCACTGAGCTATCTTGCGGGCCCAACTGGTTACATTTTGTAACATCCTCTTATGCTATAAAGCAAGCAGGCTCACCGCCCACATTGTACAGCAAAACAATAAGATGTCATTCTTCTGGATCTCTGTCACTGGGAACATGCTGCAATTTGGGCTGGAGCTGGGTTGCTTTATTAGGGCATTTATGAGAAAGGCACTTGCCAAGCACACGAATAACAGAAACGGAATCAGCTTGGGTGTGCCTGTCTGCCGAGTGAAGCAAACCATTTGCAAGCCCTTCAGGAGCACCTGTGTATTTACAAGCAACCTCCCCGATGGAAACCACCCCTGTGGTGCTTGCTGGCCCTTCTATACATTAACCATATGCCATTTTCATGTACTCATGGAAACAGGACCTCTACAAGGCCAAGTCTTTTTCTTTTTAAAATGAAATCCAGTTACGACATACACATAAAATAAAGCCTTTTTCTTTTCCAGCACTAGGGGTTGCACCCAGGAATACTCTTATCACTGAGCTATGTTCCCAGCACCTTTTGTTGTTTTCTTATATTGAGATACTTCTCAAGAGGAAGAAATGCTCCTGCTTCAGCCTCCCCCAGTTATGGGATTACAAGCATGCTCAGAGTGCCTGGTCAAAAGCCGTATTTTATTTATTATTTTGTGTGTGTGTGTGTGTGTGTGTGTGTGTGTGTGTGTGTGGAACCGGGGATTGAACTCAGGTCCTTGTGCTTGCCAGAGAAGCGCTTATTCCACTGAGCCATCTCCCCGGCCCCTAAAAGGCGTATTTTAAAAAGTTTGAGATACTGAGGGTTTGCGATCTGTTCCAACTAATGGCTCTGACAAAGGTTGTCTACAGGCCACCAAGGACTGTCTCCCCTTCTGATCCATGTAAATGCCCCTCGTCTGAATTCCTGGTTTTGTGACTTTTGAACCATTCGTATACTGAACAGATAGATTGAACACAAACTCCCAGAAGACCCCGGCTGAACTCAGCGCCAGACTGGCCTTGTGGTGACACCTCAAGGCTCCGATCTCAAGGCTGCATCACCAGCTCTAAATCGGGTGTAATGGCTGGGATGACTCTGTGTGTGTGTGTGTGTGTGTGTGTGTGTGTGTGTGTGTGTATTTTCAAATACATATATACCGACACACATACTATTAAGCAACCATTTCATTTCACATGGTGGTCCCCCCAGTTAAAATAAGGTGAGAGGAACAGGACCAAGGCTTTTTTGTTGTTGTTGTTCATCAAAAATAATTCTAACCAGTCAGTCTTTATTAGCATTAGGGATAACATGGTGTTGGGAGTAGTCTGGGTTTGAAGAATGCCACAGTTCACCGGAGGAATAGTATTTAGCGCATTAACAACTGGCAAGATCTTTAAACTCAGACTAAATCACTTCAAGTCAGTGAAGCATCCAAACTGAAATGGCTATGGTACCAGGATCGTTCATGCAGAGGTGTAAAATAAAATATTTTGTGTATCTCAGGAAAAGAGGATGACTTTAATTATGGGCTATGGCTTTTGCTGTTTTATATCACAATGACCAATTCTTAAATATCTACCCAGGACTCGGAACAGTGGGACGGCATCAGCCACGCTCTTGGCTCCAAGTGCTACATAATTGCAGGAACTGCATCCAAAAGCATTTCTAAGCTTCTGGAGCTTGAAAACATCAGCACACCGAGCGCCCACGGGCTCATCATAAAACATACAAATCAAACTACGATGTCTGACTTGGTGGAAATAACCAACCTTATTGACAGTAAGTAAAACACAGACCTGAAAGACTCATAATGACTTGGTTATAGAAGAAGCCCAAAATATCTAGTATATGAAAGTTAGTAAAAAGGAATAAATCTGGGAAGAAAAGAAAACCCAACCGTTTGGGGGACATTTAGTGTTGGAAAATAAAAGGCAGGTTAGTGAGCCACTCTGGGGATACTGCAGTGACAGCCCTAGTCCAGGAGGGCTGGACTGAAAGTCGGTCTTACTGAAAGTCATCATAAACGGTTTCCTGGCCTGTCAGCTTCGCAATGGGAAGGGACTTTCTGCCCCTAACTAAGCCCACTGCCTGGTTTCTTCTAAAAGGGCATAGCCATTAGCCCTTTAGACATTTACAGACACAGCCACTAGACATTTATCAGTGCACTGTAGGCTGAGGCAGCAAGCTTGGGCTACAGAACATCTCTACAGAAGGCAGAGGGAGACCCCAGCCCTGACGGCTGAAGAACGGGACTCACACGCAGATTCACATACCGTTCTCCAGCCACACTTCCCAACACAACAATGTCCACATGAGGACAAGCTTAGAATTCACTAATGTGTGGCAGCAGCCCCTGCAGGAAACACCAAGGGCAGGTGCTTACGCTGCAGCACACTGCTAAGGTAGTGTAAGTTCTTTCTCTAACTCACCATCACCTTGTGCTCTAGACTAATCCTCAGCACCCTAAGAACAGGGACCACAGCACAGTAAGGATGCATGCAGTCCGCTGGACTGAAAGAACTTTGCCATTTTTAATACATCCTGAGACTAGGGGACCATTTTAATTTGCATGGACTTGGGGAAGGCTCCTGGGTGATGAGAATTTGGAACTAGAATATCCACAGCAGGGAATGAGTGTACCTCAGGGGTTATGAAAACAGGCAAAAAGATCCAATCAGCAGAAGCAGACAGTTATCTGTCAGGAGAGACTAGTGTCAGAGGGAGGTTTACTCCTAACAGGAAGCACTAAGAAACTACCAGAAGTAGTAGGCAAGAAATAGTGTCAGGGAAGCACCTAGAAGCAAGCCTTTAGCTATGAAGCTGGGATTAGAAGCAGGAGCCCAGTACTGGAGACCAGGGTGACGGGCGAAAAGCAGGACACCAGCAAAGGTGGGCAGCCTCACACAGTACCAACAGCCAGGAATTTTAGCATTTAACTCTGGAATCCTATGAAGCACACGTTATCATTTCTATTTTATAGATATGAAAAGGCTTTAAAAGGTTAATTTTCTAGAGACACTACAGTGATCCCACTTCCTTTTAATTCCTAAACTTTCAGTCTTTGCTGCCTCAGTCTGACCATGCAATTCCTTTCGCCTAAAGTACTTTGCTCAGAGTTGCTGACCTAGTTAACCACGCTTTATCCCTCAGGTATTGACCAAGATGAGACGTCTGTAGATGTACATGCGTTGTCCAGTCTCACTCTCTCCTACTGGCTCTGCTCTGCTCTTCCCTTGTAGCATCACAGTTTCTCTTTGTAGTGTTTCTACAATGAATTGTCTCCTTAAGGGCTAAATTCCAGTGAGTTCATGGGCATCCTGTTGCATAAATACCAAGACCAGGTTTGGGGGACTGGGCACAAGACCAGACTCAGACCTGCACCAAGAAGCAGAGCCACGCTGGCAGCTGGCGTCAGGGCAGCTCCCAGAGGATGGAGTGATTGGTACAGTAGAGCTGGCCTGCAGTGTCTGATGGGGGACTCCAGCCCTGGCCATTCCCCCTGGGCCCACCACTTAGCAGGTGTTCCCTCATCTTCAGACGCATCCTGTCTTTAAAATGAAAACATTCTCAGTGTTGTGAGAGCTCTAGCTCACACTCTTCATAGACTCTGGCAAGTTTCAAGGGGTTCTGAGGTCCTCAAATGACTAAATATTAACAACACTGCTCTAATAAATAGTCAGAAAGACAGGTTCCCTTGAATAAAATCCCACAGGGTGAAGTAACAAAGAGACCGTGGACTCCACATTACTGGCCCTTGCACTTAACCATATTTTATCCGAAATGCAGATTTTTCTACTTGAGTAGCAACAAAATCAAATCATGTTTTATAGCACTGGGCTTAGGAACATGTCAATCTAATGTGAAAATTTTCCTCCACGGGCAATAAAAATACAAATCTTTGGGTTAAAATGCTTTAGTGGTACTTGGCTCTCGGCAGGAAAGCCTGACATCCGGGGCCTTTCTCGTTTTGGCTCTAGAAGCTCTCACTTACGGGAACTGTTTCTGCACCATACAAAGCCGAAGGAATTTCTCTTGCAGGCAGGAAGCACATCACCGTCCTTGGAAGTACAGAAGGAGAGTCCTCTGATGACAGCCTTGTTGATCTGGTAAGTGCTGAATGCTGGTCAATTGCAGAATTGCCAAAACACTGCTTTTATCACGAATTGGTATTTCACAGAAATGCAGTCTTTGGTAGAGAAAGTCATGTAACCTTTTATGAAATAGACTTGCTTCCTCCAGACAGCTACCTTTTGCAAAGAGCTAATCTTTGAACTTTTAAAGAGAAGCACAATGGAAGTCCAGGGAAAATGACAAGCACACTTAAATAACTGGGGTGTGCACTAGCAATCTTCCCTCCTAAAATGAAGTGAGAAAGGCCAGACTGTTCTCAGATAAAATCAGCATGCTTACATGACTAGTAAAACGTCTGATGGGCAGTCAGTCACACCATCTTTTTGCCTTTCAACGCTCCAGGCTTGTGAGTGGACCACTTTAAAGATAAAAATGAAACTGTAAGGGAAAAACCCCAACAGCACACTATGACTGTGTCTTTTCATGTTAAATAATTGTTTGTAACTTAGCAAAACATACCCCACTCCCATTTTAATTAAGTTGTTTTCCCCTTCAGGCTGTTGGACTCGGCGTCCAGTTTGTCAAGTTGGGGGGTCCTTCTCGTGGTGAACGGGTGACTAAGTACAACCGCCTTCTTGCTATAGAGGAAGAACTCATCCAGAATGGGACACTGGGTATGTGCTGCTTTCTCACTTTGTTTTCACTTAGCCATGAATAAGGGAACAAAGATGGGAAGAGGAGGAATAGAAGCCCCTCGGCAGGAGGGCAGGGGACTCCAGAGACTAGAAATCAACACTGACAAAACCAGGATGGCACTTGCCACAATGTACATTGTTGTCTTAATGGATTATCTATTTACCTGAATGTTTAAAACTCCTGCCCTTCTTCTTGCTGAATAGGCTGTGTGAGGCTTTTCAACAGAATTAATTGATTGGAATCTCCAAGCCTACCTTTTGTTATGGTCCAAATTATAGAGGCTTTTCTTCACAGCCTGTGAAGTTACAGGCACAAGTTTTCCAGATCGTTCCTGAAGACAACTCTTCCACTTAAAAAAACCTACGCAACACGTTAATGTTAACATATCTTTGGAAGTTCAAGGTCTTAAGAGAAGTGAATGAATCATTTATGAAATCCAAGCTTTATGAATTTCCCTGATAGAAACACCTTGTGTATACCGTCTGGAGAGAGAAACATCTTAAACAGGCATTTTTGTTTTCTGTATGATTGTGATGGCCTAAAAGAGGTCATAGCAGGCAGTTATTTACTGAGACCAACAAAAACTGTGATTTTAAAACATGTTTACCATACATACAGGGGTCTTGAAACATATCCTTCATAGAAAATGACGATTTAATTAAGAAATTACTTTCGAGTTATGTAAAGGCAGTCAGTCAGTCTGGTTGGTGTGTAATGCAGAAGCTCATTTTTTTGTCCCAAATAGGTCAGATTATATTCTACATATTGTCTATCTTTTGTCATTCTGAATTGATGGAGGCCTTAGGTTCCATAAGTGACCTCTCATACACACCCAGGCAGCCTTCATAAGGAATACAACAAGTGTCTCAGAGCATCAGAAAGACCCCAAGGACTGGAGGCCTACCTACCCCATCAGGGGCTGTGGAACCCTGGATCTTGGGATGAATTAGGAATTGAGAATTTCTCTGACTCCGGGCTGTAAATGTTAAGAGAATGCAAAACTGACAAAACAAATCTCTCCGTTGCCATTTCTGAGTAGAAGACCTTGGTGAAATCTGGGCCACTGAACTATCATTCCTGCCTCTGTGGCCTTTCTGGAACAGTCCACTCCTGCTCTCATTTCCCCTCGAGGCGTTGGCAATGGTTCGTGTCCACGCATTTAGCAACGGCCTTCCTTCTCTGGCTCAGCGTCCTCTTTTCCTTTTCTTGCTAAGTCTCTGCCACAGAACAGCAAACACCACAAGGTCTGACTGCGTACAGTGAAACTGAATAGAATGCTAGCACTGGACAGTGAATGCGCAGCCAAAGAGATTCTGGATCCTTCCTCATGGTGATGTGACTCCTCCGGCCATTTCTGATAATGATCTCCTTCCAATAATACAGAAACCCCAGAATTGGCACCGCTGGATTACACAATAATTTTTTTTCTTTTCTTAAAATAGGTTTCAATGAAGAACACACCTTTTTTTACCTTAATGAGAATGCTGAAAAGGCACTTGAAGCTGCTGGCGTGGGGGCTGCTGAGCTGCTGCCGGGGGCCCTGGAACCAATCTTCCCCACAGAAGTTGTGGAGCAGTCAGCTAAATCCTGAGCACAGTCTGGCTGGGATGCACCCTGGGGCAGAACCACACCCGGCTATCAGACTGGTAGGCGGACATCACTGTACTAGCCCTGCTCTTGAACTTCACCAGTTCAGCTGTGCTTTTCATGCTTGTACTGTCACTGTTTGTTAAAATACATATATCATATTTTTGCCTGAAATTCTGTGAGCTTTGTTCTATAGTCATCACGTTTCCATGGGGACATCAGCTCTACAGCATCTTGTCCTTTACAAATCAGAAATCTCCAAAACAGAAGCCAATTCTACAAGAAGTTCTCAGTACCAGCAACAGAAGTCCAGCTTCTGAGTTCTGAGACATATGGACATGTTTTTTGAAGCCACCCTGACGCAGCTGGGTGACAAATGTCACTAGTTTTTAAAATAGCCAAAGAACTTCATCTTATTTTCTTACACTTGATTCCTTTTTTCCCTGATGTCTTCGTCTTAAATGTTCGCTTTTCTTATATTATCTTTTTGAGTCTCCTTATGTCATTTTGAAACAAAGAAAGATATAAATTAATAAGTAAATAAGTGAAGCAAATAGTCTTCAGGTTACCAAATGCCCAAACTGCTTATAATATGTAAGGGAATTGGCAAGTGGTTAAAAATGATGTGATGTGTATTCTGACCAGTTGGCCTCTTGATACTTGTCAGCCACTGTTGTGATTATCACAGAGGAATGCCAGGAAATAAACATCCTCAAGCATACACCTATGAATATATGATGTCCAACTACTTTATATGACTGGATTCTGTTAAAAGGATTACTATTGCTTTTCCTACAAATCGTAAATATTGCTATGTACTAACCTGTAGGATAGTTGGTTTAGATCTAAGCACACTGAGGACCTCTCCTTTCAAAGAGCATAAACAAGGGAACTTAATGTCCTCATAGCAGAGCCAGCTTCTTCCTGTCAAAGCCACCATCTGAAAGTGGCTCAGTGGTAGCCTCTCAGAGCATGAGGTACAGAACTGGTTGATACCACTCTAAGCTGGAAGACTCACACTTCATGGTTACCACTGCTTCTTCTGATTCTTAGCAGCAAACAATGGGGCAAGAAACACTGGAAGGAAAATTCACCCTAAAGGCAGGATGAACAAGACTGGGTATTCACACAGCCTTTACCAATATCCTTAAAGACAAATATACATGCAATGCATGTGAGAACAACCCCTGAAGTACTATAAACCAGAGCAAATTGATTAAGTTGACCAAAAGTAGGTTATTTATTACCTTAGCCAGATTAGCACTTTAACTTCAATCCAGAATACAGTCCACTCATGTTAACCTCATTTGATAACTGGGCTCACCAAGGGATGAGGAGCATTTCAATGGAGTTTTCTTAAGACTGCTAATCACTATGGTCAGTTATATTTTTTTCCAATCTGTGTTATTTAAAACATTTGAACAAAATACATAGTATCTGTGAAAGAGATGAAAAAACTAGTCATATCCCAGATTAAAAAAAATGACAGAGACAGGGAACGTTAGACAGTGCCTGGAAGGCACTTCAAGACACTGCAGTCCATGCAGCCGCACCGCCTCCTGAGCCTCCCAGGGTTCTCTGCTCCTCACGTGACCGGTGTATCCATTACAGTTGTTCCATGATGGGAGTGGTGACACATGTATAGTGTACCCTAAGAAAAATAACTCAGGTCTTCCTTAAGACTGAGATACCAACTACTGTCCCTTGCCTGACCTACAACCTAAAATGATCACAAACGATCATCAGCAATAATTTTCAGCTCTACTACTTCCTGTCCAACAGACATTAACGAAGTTTAGGAGAGAGGAACTTCTGAGGAGCAGTCGGCACCAAAGCAATCATCCTTTTTAACTCCGGGCCAACAAGGCTGGGTGCCAAAGGCCCTATTGACCCCTGCCAGTCAGAGTTCCCACAGGGCTGACCAACTGCTACAGTGACCACAGGTGAGGACTTTATGTGAGATTAGCTCAGATACAAAACGGTGGAACAATCTGAATTAACTTCTAATTCTTACAGAAGAGGAGACATTTTTTCTTTCTTTAAGTAGGAACAGCAGAAAGAACCTCTATCCATTTGCCTCTCTGGGGGACAAAAGTACATCAACATGAGCTAAGAAAACTGAAGCAGAGAGACCCATCTACACTCCTAAAGGAGCAGCACAGGTGTTCCTATACAGAAAACGAAAGCATGCAATCCCTTCCAACTTCAAAATGTTACAGATGAATATATATAATTTTTTAATGCGAGTAACTAAGGACACACCTTGACGATGAAATCCCTGGACCCCTGCATCTGAAGCCAACTACTTTGCTGACAACTAACACAACAGGGAGAGAAAACCCTCAAAACTGAGCTAAAAGGGAAAAACTGTAGGAAGAAGATGAGTGAATATCTAACATCAAAGATCCATGTACCACAGTAACTTAAAATACTCTATGATCATGCAGAAGAAAATTGGGAAAGCTCAGAGAGGCAAAATATCCGGTGCTAAGTGATGCTTGCTTCAGCGGGCACATCTCAGTGAATGGCTCACTGCTGCTGGAATGAAGGGGTTTTCATGATGTTCCCCTGTGGACGTGAATGATCAAACATGCGGGCAGTGTACGGAGTTTCAAACTTGTAAATGTGTGTACTACACAAACCAGTACACTGATAACGGACATGGGAAGGAGGTACACATGAAGAAACATGGAATAAAATGATTCATAGCAAACCATTTTGTAGACCATTAAAAATTACTACAATTACCAATTCATATAATTTCCCTATTAAGAATGTCAAGATTTTGGGGCTAGGGTATAGCTCAGAGGTGGACACTTACCTAGCAATTTGCAAAGCCCTGGGTTTGATTCCTAGCAGTGGAGAACTAAAGTAAAAAAGTCAAAAACCACAGTTGACCTTCATGGGAAGCTTTTGCTACTTTTTTTTTTTTTTTAATGCATTGTGGTGAGGAGAGTTCAAATCACAGCATAACATAACTCATCTAAGTGAATTAATCAGTTTGTAGTTAGCATATCACATAGAGCTATTATTCAGTTAGCAAAACATACAGATGAAAAACATTACATTTTAATTCCCTACGAGTACTGTAATAGGTAACTGTAAATCATCTCTGGAAGAACATGGAAATAGTCAAGCATAATGAACCTATGCAAAGATAATTGTCTCCAAGTGGAGGGAGTACATTCGCCTGACTACCCATGTCTTTGAGCCTCCGCTTAGCACACGTGCAAAAATACAATACAATACAACTACTGCAATTATTCCTATCATTTTCTTCTGCCCTTAGGTGAGAAACACCTGACAGCTACATGCTGAGTCATGCTAACAAAACTAAACCTTTCACTTCCTTTAATAGTAAAATTACCATTACTGAATCATTGTCATAAAAAGTGCATTCAAGTACATTACCACTTATTTTAAATAAACACCAATTTTGAAACAATTGACTTTGAAAAGCTGCATAAGTTATTTTTTTTTTTAATCCCTGATTACATTTCTGTTTATTCACGGTGGTAGCCTAAAACACTGTATTTTGAGAGACTAACTACCACTTGATTTCTTTAAAACAAAAGAACCTGTGTAATACAGAATGGCAGTGAAGCGAAGTGTGTGCCTGTCACTTATCTTCACTGTACATAACTGTGATAAAATATGGTGCCTCAACCATATTAGTATACTGGAAAACACAACTGACTCATGGTACAGAAAACATGGTGTATGAAGCTGTTACTGTTGATTCAAGGTTTGGACTTTCACCTCAACTCCACATCCAGGCCACCAGAACATTCACACTGAATCTCTGGGAAGCTTCAGGCACGATCAATAACCTGTGCTGTCCACCTAGTAGTCAACAAGGCGTGTGATTCACATTGATTAAGAGACGACTGGTCTGAAGCCAGCTCCTGAGTTTGAAGTTTACTTCAGTCTAACCCTAGAAAATAACTTGTATGCCATGGAAATCACCCTTGCCAGACCCAGAGCAGAAGCTTCTCTGAAGGCTTTTAGTTTCTGAGTCTGGCTCACTATGCTCCCCAGTCTGGCCTTAAATTCCTGGGCTCAAGTGACCCTCCTGCCCCAGCCTCTAGAGTAGCTGAAGTACAGGTCTAGCCACTGTGCTTGCTCTGGGGCTTTTTATATCTTGTTAAGCTGTTCGGTTCTGTTGATCCAGCTATTCATAAGCACCTCGAACTTTCAGCACTACTGAAATTTGGTAAGTGGTATGCACAGTTCCTAAAAAGATACCAATATTTGAACCCTTTGTAATCTTCTAAACAAAGCCATACTTCATACATACAGTAACTAGGAAAAATCTTATCCCTATAAAGTTCAAAAGCCAAAAACTACTTCAAATGTATTTTGCTATAGTTATGCTTATAACTGCTACTTACAAAAGTGACACCAGAAAAGAACCTGTATTGTGAATACAGCGACCAGACGGAATGTCCCTAGCCCTTGGCAACACACCGAGCTGAATCGCGTGCTTACTGAAAAGGACTTCCAAACACACCCGCATCCTGGTTGATGGCTCAGCAGCTGGAGCTGTCTGTCTCTCTTGTTTTTTCAGTGCTATCTTCTTTGAATTCTGGTTTAGCTTCATCTTCATCATCTTTGCATTGAGATGAATCTTCTTCGGTGACCTGGTCTTTGGTTTGGGGCTCGTGTGTGGAAATGGGATCTAAAACTACAATTGGTTCAGCTCTGTTTTCACTGCCAATGTATCTTCTCCTGTATCCAATGTTACTGGGCGGCCTATGAGATGAAGAATTAAAGAGAAAAATAAAAAGGAGAGAGAAAAACCAGGTTTTCTTTGGTATCTCTGGATTCCGACCAACAGCACACCCCCCCATTATTCTATCTAATCAACATGCACATCATTGTCTTTGAGATGCCAGCCATCATTTAAAAAAAAAAAAAAAATGAAGTTATCCAGTTACGTATCAGGAGCACAAGGCCAGAAGAAGGCAGAAAAGGAGTGATTACCAGAGGAAGTGTTAAAAAGCCAAACACACCTACCTGCTTGATCACATGTTCTTCTCAGGACGTCAAAGCTTGTGGATGCACCGTGCATTCCCCATCACTGCCTGATCTCCTGAGC